TTTCTGCTTTTTCATTGTTAGTGTAAAGAAATGCAACAGTTTTCTGTATGTTAATCGTGTATCCTGCTACCTTGCCGAGAGTAACTTCTTAGCTTATCAAAATCGTGTGGTTTAAAAATAATTGACAGCTTGACAAAAGTATAAAATTATAAACTAGAATTAGAACAATATTTAGGAAAGTAAGTTAACATTACCACATCTTCTTATCCATTAGACCAGAGTTTTCTATAATTATGAAAGAAAATATTCCCAAATATTTTATTATGAATTTTATGACACAGAATATAAGGTAAAAACCTCTACCTCATTCATTACTTAAGCTTAATTTTATTCTACTGTGCTTACTGAAAAAATGTCAGATTTTTTTTGCCAAGAAAAAAACCCCCTCTCTCCAAGCATACATTTATCAAGTGTAGTGCCAGTGGCTTTTTTTTTTCAGTCCCATAGCAAATGCAGAAAGTCAATAAAAATGTAAAGGAATGTGGTATTTTCATTGTAATTAAAATCCACAAATTCATAGTATATGACAAACGTCGATGGTAGAGTGGTGCCCCCAAGTGGCAAAGTGATAAACTGCAACAATCTACTGGAAGAGTTATTTGATTAAATCTAAAGTGCACATGAACCTACAGTTTACAGGGGCTGGTAATCAGTGTCCTGCAAACCAGTTAGGACGCACGGTGTATCCATGCTACTCCTTTAACAAGGGATACCAAGGGGCAGACTGCAAAAGTTCCAATACTTTCTTTATTATCTTAAAAAGTTAGGGGTATGTCTTCAAAACAATGAAGGGAGTCAAATCTACTCTCATCTATTAAGGGAGCAGCGTTCATAACATAACAGAAATCTTTTTAGAGTATGAACTTTCTAAGCATCTCTTAACATTAACCAATTCCCTATGTTTATGACCTGGTATGTAAAACAGAATGTAAAACCTTATCTAACCAAATTGCTTCGAGAATGGGTGGTACTAGTTACTGTGCTTTGACCAGACACTCTTGGCAAAGGATCTTAAAAACAGGAGTTTGGTTTCTTGCCTCCATGCGTGTATCAAACATAACGATCGCTCATGAGCTGCTGTCTTACTCAGTTAAGAGGTCCACATTCTGAGGACCAATTTCTCTTGGACAGTCGTAGAGACACGAACAGGTGACGTGAAAACTGTTACAATCTCAAGAAAGATCTAAAGATGTTTTGAAAATCACATACCCAATACCAAATTGCTTTGTTTGAGAGATTTTTGTCTTAAAAGTGGAATGCAAAAGAAACATTTCCATTTAGTAGACAGTTCTAGTCGCAGTTACTGAGTGGTGACTAAAAAAGTTTTATTAGGCTTCCTTTAATTATTTCTTTAACTTGAATTATTTATAAATAAGATGAATCTTGACTGTTAGTAAGTAGTAATTGTATGTAAGACAATGTGACATCTATATTTTATACACATATTTACAAATAAATTTATCTCATATTTATTTTTTACTACTATATTTCTCTTGATTTATATATATATACAGATATTATATATACAGATATCTTGTTCAACCCTATTATAAAACAATATAGTCTACAGATAAGAAAACTGAAGTGCAGACTAGAAACCTCCATAACCTTAATCTCAGTGAAGAACAAGACCAGCTTTACTTACTCAGCTGTTCACCTTCAAAGCCTGTGGTCTTAACCGTGACACTTGCACTGCCTTTCCTGTAGCATCCTAGGACTTTGTGAGCAGCCACAGTCACGACTCTTTCTGATTTTAGCAGAGTTCTAAAGTCACACATCTACAGAGGCAGGCAGGCAGTGGAAAGGTGTGATGCAGCTGGCTGTAAGAGACAGGAGTGGCAGGAATGTGGGTAACTGGAGAGGAGTCCGGGGTCTGTCTGGAGAGAGCCATCGCCTCCCAGCTCCAGCCCAGATTGGCTATATAGGCAGCAGTGTTAACAAAGTTAACAATCTTTTGATTTTTTTTTAAGAGAAGATGAAAAGCTCAATTTTATGAGAGCTGTCTGCTTTTGAATACTGGCAACTAATTTAGATTAAAAAAGAAACCACTATGCAGGTGAAAGAAAACATCTGAAAGCTGAATGAGGCCAGTATGTAATATGCTGTAGAGCTTCTGATGATGAACGGCTCCTGTCCAAGAGATTCTAGACTAGATCCTTGGTATCAAGTGATCTGTCAGTTATCCTCACTACTGGATTCATTCTACATTACCTTGGCTTTGTCTGCCTTCTTCAGCTCAAGTCGTGTATCTCAGACTAGTTCAGGTACAGGGAGGGCCACCAGCAAATCACTTCAGGACACTTTACTCACCTCAAATGCAAATTACCACTAATTTGCATTTTATGACACTTCTAAAACTGCAGACAATTCTTATGCTCTCACTCATGAAGTCCCAATCAAGTTAGGTGGAAGCAATGCTGTAACTGAGACTTTGGCATACATAAAAACCTTATTTTCATATATACCTACCCCATTTCCCTGCTCCAGGCCATTTGGATACTCACCTGCCGAAATGACTTTAGAAACCTCACCTGAATACACCATTTAAGGAGCTTCTCTACTTCTTACTCAATTCTTACTTTAATGCAAACAGCAAAGTGAAGGCACTCCAAGTTTTTAATCAGCTAAGAGCTGCACACACACAGCAGCCAGCTCAAGATTCGTACGAAGTGTTTTTTTACTTACAATTCCTCTCCTTGTTTGGCTTTCTTGTCTGAAACCAGATAGACAGTTCCAAAACTTCCGCTGCCAAGTTTCTGTAGAAGCACATATCTTCTCGCAATCAGGGGCTCCGGGCACGAGGAAACAGTTACTGATCCCCTCACACATTTGGCAGCCTCCTGGAATTTCAGCATTGCTCCAAGCAAGAGAGAGCTGTTTACTTGTTTATAGAAACTAAACATTCAAGTCTCCTGGGAGATGGTCAAATTCATCCAAGTAGCAACAGTCAATGCCTTAAAGATGAAAAGGTCAGAGATCAGGTCTAACCACGCTGAACTACTCCCAGCAAAAAGTTTAAGTTTTTGATAGTGATACCTGTACCTTGATTAGTAGATTGAATGACCCTGTCCTGGTTCACTTTAACAACTTGAGAAAAATGTTAAAAGATAAGAGATACTACAGATCCCAATAGAAGGCGGTCTTTCTTACAGAAAGAGAGCCTTCCCTCATACATCTAAACTTAGCAGAACTGAGTTAACAGTCAAACCTCTCCTAAATTCTGAGATGTATATATGTTTTCCAATCAATAATCTATTGAAGATTTATACTCCCTATTTTTAAAAAATCCAAATACAAGAACTTTATAATTTCCTAAAATCTATACATTTGCATCAACCTTTATGTAATTCTTTCTTCCCACCTTATGTCTATTTTGATTAAAATGCTGAGTTAGGATTAAACCGGGAATTAATATAATGCTGGTTTCTTTTTTTTTCTGTAGGCTTTTAAACCATGACATTTTCATTTATTAGAATAGGCACGAAGAGGGATATGGATTCAAATTGAATTTTTCCCCTATCTTAACCAAATTCTGATGCAGTTTCTGAATTTTTTATTATACACACTATGTTTGGAGTAATCTCCCTGGATTAGGAACAAGAGGTATCACAAGTACAGTTCAAATTTGAAACTGCATTTTAATGTTAGCTGAATATACACGTGTTACAGGTAAGTCTATAATTCCTTAAGAGGCATAAATGTACAGCAGAACTATGAAAAGCAAGACTGTTTCATATAAGTATGTTCATTGTAAAGTCACTTTTATTTCACCAAAACGTAAATTTTTTTTTTTAGTAATCATGAAGTGGGTTTTGTTTCAAATCTAGAAGAAACATTTTAAACTGAAGACTGCCAGTGGCTTGGATTCATGTTTCCATATTCAACAACTCCAAAACCAGAAGACAAAACCTACTGTGTAGAACGGGAAAACAAGCTGCTATCTGTGTCGTTTGGGGTACATGGCCAAGGGCTTCATCACGGTGGTGGCAATTACAAACATCCTCTGAATAGAACATAAACAAGGAAATGTCCATTGGCAGCCCCTCCCTTCTTGAAATAGTGTATTAATCAGTTAAGTTTCTCTCTTCCAAAGAGAAGAAAATGAGTAATCAGCTGAGGGAGGGAGGGAGGAACCAAGTCACCCGAGTGGCTGGGTGTTAGTGACAACACTAAAACCTTAGCATCGGGCTGGAACTTCGGAGCTGGGACCCCTATCTCAAAACCCTGAATTAGTGGGATTATCAAGATCACAGAAAATACTAGCGAAACGGAGAGCAGGGCCCAACATGCATCTTCTGTCGGTGTTCTCTGCTTGCATGAAAGTTAGCTGTTAATTAAAGTGTGTGGGCTCACAGCCTTCCCACTGAAGAGGGCCCTTATCGCTGGGACGAGGTAAGGATCAGACGGTTCCGAGGAGCCCCGTTTCCCGGGGCGCCGGTCCACACACGAGTCCGGAGGGGCGGCGGAGCAGGTCGGACCAGGTTCCAGGGCCCAGACCCCGGCCGCGGCCCCGCCGCCCCCAGCCCTCCCTGGGTCCCGTGTGCGCGCCAGCGCCCCTGACGAGGGGCCGGAGCGCGGGGAGCACGCCTGCTCGGTCTCAGCGCCCGCTGGGCCAGCCGGCGCCGGGTGGTCAGTGGCCTCCGTCAGGGCGGCTGCCGGCGAGGACCCCAGGCGCCGTGGGGGCAGAGACGCGAGGGACGCGCAGGCTGACCTGAGGCGGGGCGGGGGCACCAGAGGTGCGCGCGGAGGCGGTCTCCCCGGGAATCACGGACGAGGGGAGCGGGTCTGTCACGACTCGGCTGAAGCAACGTAAACCTTAACTTCAGGTAAAACGAGCCTCAGGTAAAACTTCCCTCAATTTTTTTAAGCTTAACACTTTGAGGAGGCACCGGCCACACACCCTCGGGGACCAGGCAGACCCGGCAGGTGAGGAGCCCAGGGCAGCTAGGAGGGGCGGGAACCGCAGAGCCTTCGCGTACCTTCGCGGCTGGAGGGTCCCGCCCTTATCCGGGACGCACGAGCAGCCGCCTCTCGTCGGGGAAGTAGCGCTGGCCGAGCTCGCGACCACCGCGCGTCCCGGCTGCAGAGCGCTGTTGCCAGGGAGACGGCGCGGGGTGTGCCGGGAAGTCG